ACATTAAACTCTCAGTGAAAGTAGTTACATGTTGAAACCAAGTTTATCAATGTTATAAAAGCTGCAGTGGTTGCTAAGAGAAACTGATACTTTGTTCCCATAGGAACTGTTGTTTTAATCCAGAATCTCTAGATTCAAAGGCTAGAAAACTTAAGTTTGTGATGGGAAATATTTTACCCTTCCTGGAAAAATGTGAAAATTACTGTCCTCTTATTGAAAAGCATGGTCGTGTGGTTGCAATCTCCTGAATGGGTGAAATGTTCTAGGTGGGTATTTCTCTTTCAGTTTTCCTTGTGTTGATGGTGATGATAGGAGAGTGAGGGAAATGAAACAAACTGCAGGTCAGCCACTCCTAGAGCGGAGAAGTTGTTAGAAAAAGCAAACCTGCACCTTGCGTTTGATAATGTCTAAACTGGTGTTTAGGTTCCCTTATGAGAGAGGGAAACAAAGGGGAGGGATTTTTATACCAAGCTGCTCTATAGCATTTAGGCACCCGCATAACTTTTGCATCCAGGCATTGGCTCTTCACTTTAAGATAATGATTTTGAGTGAGCAGAAAAACAATTCTACCCAATTCTGCTCAGAAACCAAGGATGAGGATGAAATGGAATTGAGAACAACCGTCCTTTGTAAACTCAGTGGCAAACAGTTCCCGGATGGGCACTCTTCCCGGAAACCCACTTTGAGCAGCACTTGTGTACATTGCCATGGGCGGTGGATTAACCACCTTACCTTCCCTGTCTGATGTCTCCATTCTTCTACTGGTGTTTCCTGCATCTTACAAAAAAAACTACTTACACCCCTGTGGTTGTCTCGGAGTCTGCTTCTGAGAGTGTGCAAACTAAGATGTACTGAAAAGCCCAAAGAAAGATTATGACAATGAAATTTGAATGGTATTGCGAGGTGGAATGATCACTGGAGCAGATGCATACAAACACATGTATTTAGTTAGTCCTTGTGATGGATGCTATGTTGTGGGTCCCCACTCTCCCCACCCCCCATTAGAGACTTATTACCCCAGCTTTTGGGAATGCTGCTGGAAGACAGCCCTTACTGGTGGTGCTGCTCCAGGATTAGTGTTGGCTGAAGATAGCTGCTTCCCTCAAGGTCACACCTCCTTCCTGGCTTGGCCCCCATCCAATGACAGATCCAAGTGAGAGTATAAAGGCCCAGCTCTCTCAACTCATTTGGAGAGCTCTGAAGGATCACCCTGTTTTCAGAACTCCCTGCCAGTTCAGGGGAGGCATTCCATTGAGACTGCACCAAGGCTTGACTTCTCCCTCTGCCCAGCCCTGCTCCTTCCCATTCCTCAGGTAAATCCCAGGAACACTCCCTAAGAAACCTCCCACCTGCTATCTCCCTCTCAGAGTTCATTTCCCTGGAAACCCAACCTGTGACAGAATTGATGAGCACCTACTAGGCTCTAGACAGTATTCTGAAGGATACAGTGAAGACCGAATAAGCTTTCTGCCTTTACATTTGATTTGGAAGGAGTTCACATTCTAGAACAAGGGTCAGTAAACGTTTTTTGTAAAGGGCCAGATAGTAAATATTTTAGACTTCATGGGTCATGTGGTCTCAGTCACAGCTATTCAGCCCGGCAGCTCTACCATAAAAGCAGCCTTATGAATATATAAATGAATGGGCAGGGCTGTTTACTGCTAAAACTTCATTTACAAAATAAGAAGTGGGTTGGATTTGGCCCTTGGGCTATAATTTGCTGACCCTGTTCTAGAGAGAAGGAAATAAGGAAACCAATAACTAAACAAGAAAACCTCAGACAATAATAGTGCCATAAAAGAAATAAATTAGGGTGATATGATAAAGAAACACTATTATCAATTTGTAACTTTAAATTTTTTTTTTGATAAGTAGTATATTCACATGATTTAAAAACCAAAAGGATTGAAAAACTACTCATTTGCTTATCCTGGTTCACTTTGATCCCCAGTAGAATAATTTTATTTATTTACTTTTGTGTTTCTTTTCAATATAAACAATTACAAATATATATCCTTATCCCTCCTTTCACGCAAAGGTTAGCATATAATATATCTTGTTTTGCGTATTACTGTTACTCACTTAGTATGTCCTGGAGATCACATATAGATCATCTCCATTTGTTTTTCTATATCTGAGTACTATTCCTAGTATGCATATCATAGTTTATTTAATCAATTCTCTATTGTATTGGGGTTCTCCAGAGAAACAAACCCCAAAACCGTGTGTGTGTGTGTGTGTGTGTGTGTGTGTGTGAATTGGCTAATGTGATTATGGAGGCTGACAAAGTCCCAAGATCTGCAGAGTGAGTTGGCAAACTGCAGACCCAGGAGAGCTGATGGTGTAGTTCCAGTCTGAGGGCTGGCAGGCTTGAGACCCAGAAAGAGCAGATATTTCAGTTCAAAGGCAGGAAAAAGCTGACTGTCTCTTATTGCAGGGAGGGGAGAGTAGGTGAGGGTCAGCCTTTTCATTTTTTTCAGGTAACTGGATGAGACCCACCCACAACAGGGAGGGCAATCTGCTTTACTCAGTATACCAATTTAAGTATTAATCTCATCCCAAACACCCTCACAGAAACACCCAGAATCATGTTTGGGTGGGCACTCTGTGGCCCAGTCAAGCTGACACATAAAATTAACCATCACATGCACTTGGGTTGTTTCCAAATTTTTGCTATTACTGCAATAATACTGCAGTGAATGACCTTGTATATATATACTATTTCATTAAGTGTGCTGGTGTAGCTGTCTGTGGGGTAAAGTCCCAGAAGTGGGAATACGGGTCCAAGCATGTCACTTTGATAGGGATGGCCATGTTGCCATCCATGTGACTTATTCTAATTTGCAGTCCCACTAGCATCTGTAAGTGACTGTTTCCGCACAGCCCTGGTAACAATTATATTATCGAACTTTGAGAAATGTTTGCCAATTTGAAGTGGTATCATCATTTAGCTTTAATTTGAATTGCTCTGTGTGCGTGAGGTTGCACATCTCTTTTTTTTCAAGGTTTTATTTTATTATTATGTTTTTTAACTTTTTTTTTTTTCATTAGAGAGAGAGAGGGAGGGAGAGAGAGAATCTTAAGCAGGCCCCTTGCCCAGCATGGATCCCGACACAGGGCTCGATCCTACAACCCGGAGATCAGAGTAGGTTACTTAACTGACTGAGCCACCCAGGCGCCCCTCAAGATTTCATTTTTTAAGTAATCTCTACACCCAGTGTGGGGCTGGAACTCACAGCGCTGAGATCAAGAGTCACACACTCCACCAACAGAGGCAGCCAGGCACCCCTGCACATCTTTTTGTATGTTGTAAGAACCATTTGTATTGCTCTCTCTGAATTTTATGTTCACATCATTTGTTCAGTTTCTATTGGGCTTTTGGACTTTTCTCAATTTGTTAAGACTCACTAAACATTAAAGGGCTTGACCCACTATGATTTAGATTGCAAACATTTTCTTAGTTTGTCATTTGTATCTTATGCTACTGTTGATTTTGTATCAATTTGTATCAATCTTTTCTTTTACGGCTTCTAGATATTGAACGCTAACTAGAAGGACCTTTGAGGGGTACTTCAGATGGGGTGCTCAGGGCTAATAAGTCCATCCAAATTGTTTGCTTGTATGCTGGGGAAAATGTGTTTCCCCAGGTAGTGCTGTGGAAAACCAGAATGTAGATAACTCAACCTAAATGAGAAAGAAAACTAAAAATAGCTTTTGATTCGCTGTAAACATTAAAAGTAAAGTAAAACAAATAATATCAGAGAATCACACATAGTAAAAGTAATTATATTGAGTCCAGACTTAAGAAATATAATCTTTTGGCGGGAAAATTAGGGTTCATAATAATTTCTCCCTCTGAGCTAGGAATGCATAGATTTGATGTGTTTTGATAAATACAGCTTGTCTAATTTGAAATTGATTTTAAAATCTTGCTGTTTCATCTTCATAAATTGAAAAGCAGGTTTGCTTATACTGGTAGCCTTTTATTGTACTTGAATAGTGGTCTGACTACTTTTGAAAATGAATAATGGATTAAAAGTACACTTTGCAGCTTACATTAGTTACTTTTGTAATGCAAAATAGAAGCATGATAATGTACTATTCAGCATGTTTTAATATGATTTATACATACACTACATAGCATAAGTAATTCATTATGACCTTCACAGTGCATTTCCTGGGCACAGAAGCTCATGTTTACCAGTATTTCATCTCATAATCAGGTGGTCTAATGGAGGGAATCTGAGCCTATGAGTGAGGATTCCTCACTCCACTTGCTCCTTGACTCATTCAAGGACCCGCAGGCAATACTCTTCTGGGTCTGAGCGTGTGTGCTTATGAAAGTGAATGGATAACACCTTATGGATCCAGCTCAGAAGAAGGGACTGTGGACTAATAACTTTAGGACTGTAAACGGCTTTGAAGTCTAGAATTAAATAGGCTTCACAGTATAATTATTATTATTCCAGGAATTATCCTACTTTGGAAATAACACTCTACAATGGTCATTTAATAAGGCAACAGTCCATTTCTCTGCATTTGGGAAGAAATCATCTATTGCTCCATAAATAGCACCTTGTCACACACTGTATTTTTCTATTTGCAAAGTGTGGATTTACTGAATAGCATAGGTTACGGCCCTCAAGATCAGCTGCCTTTAAAGCCAATTGCATTCCATTTTTAGAATGAACACGTACAGATTTGATTGAAGCTTGTGAGTTGGAAGCGGGGGAGTGGCTCTTAGAGGCAGACCTTCCCCTAACATTTGTGGGGCCTGGGGCAAGAGTACAAATGGAGGCCCACGTACCATATGTTTAAATATTTAAATGGTATAGATCAAGCTAACAGACTGTTAAATAAAATATGTTCTACCCTCTTTCCTCCACAAATATATCTTCATAATGACCTGGAAGGCCAGGTTTGAATTTTAGATTTCTCTGAAGGTCCCAGAAAACTTATAAATCACATTTCTCTTTTTTCCCCCTATTGCCTGGTGTTAGTATGATAGCAACCAGTAACACTGTCCAGACCAGATTTTGAACACACACGTCCTGAAGGTATGTTTCAAACTCTGTACCTATTTATGATACGCAAATCATGTTTCTTTTTTGATAATGCTGATGACTGTCTCTATGAAAATGGGAATCCATTAGAATAACTGAAACCTCTGAAATAGTGAGATTTGCGCCTTTGAAAAATGCCTTGACACAATTTGATTCCTTTGTCAATCTGGATTTTTGACCTGATCTATTTAAATTCTGTTGGGTACATGAGTTCACATCTAACTTCCACTGTAAATTGTAGGATGAGTAAAATGTGCATGTTTGGCATACAAACTCATTTTATTTTGCCTAACACATAAACTGTTATTTTAGATTCAAAGGAATCTTACTGGTCAAATAGATCTAATAATGGGGAAGATATAATAGAAAAATTTATATCCTTAGAGAATGCACCTTAAGCAGTTTTATTTTATAGCTGATATTTTTATTTTTGCTTGGGTATACGATTCTTGTTTATCAAGACTCCACTTTCTTTGTTAAAATGTAAAATGCATGTTGGGCAAATGCTCCAGGGGCAATTTGCATAAAAAGTGATGACAAAGAGCAATTAGTACTTCATTATTATGCAGTGAAATGCTACTTTGCTCAAAAGTGACTGTAGTTTCTCCCCCCTAACCCCCTTATAAATCTGGTATACAGCATTGTTCTAAAAATAGTACTTAAGAAACCTCTGTTTGTAAATCAGTGTCTTTGACTTTCTACTAGAAATCCAGGGGGAAAAAATGCAAGCACTAAATAAAGTTATTACCCCAGATCTTTATAATGAAAAACAAGCACCAGAATTCTGTTAGATAAGACAGGTCAGAAGATTTTAGTGTCTCATCAAATTAGTTCCATATCTTATTTTACCCCTTGGGATCGGCTTTCAAAGCAGGCTCAGATCATACATTGATAGCAACATCCCCCTTCCCCCCTACCCACTGTCTCCCATGCACACTCAGAAACAGGGTCATGCCGCACACGGCTACCCTGCAGAGAGCAAATAGTCCCAAGGTATCTCTAGTTAGGAAGGCTTGATTTTTGAGTACAGATTTCATTACCATGAAATTCCTTTAGGGCACAAAAAGAATTGCATCAAAGAAGCAGTGTAGGGAGGCAGACTTTGTAAATGTCCTCCCCATCACCTGTATTACCAGGCTCTGCTTGTCTTTAATTTGCCAGGAAATGCTCATTTTTTTTCTCTTGTTGAGCCAACATATTATCTAAAACTCCGCAAGCCAGAATGTGCCAACGCTCTGTGTGTGCGTGTGTGTGTGTGTGCGTGTGCGTGTGTGTGTGTGTGTGTGTGTGTGTGTGTGTGTGTGAAAGAGAGAGAGTAAGAGAGAACCTAGTAATTGGATACTGGCAGAATGAGGAGACACGGGAAACTATGAAGCCTTTAACCTTTGGAAAATGACCTGATGAGGCTGGAGATGGACATGGATTATAATATTTCTCTTTGGAAGTCCCAAAGCAGTCTTGGGGAGGGGGGCAGTTAGGGGTAGAGGTGGGAGGTTGGTAGACACTGCCTTATTTTAGGTTCTTCCTATACCTGACCCTCTGTGGCCCAGACCAGATCAATGCAGTTCCCACAATCATAGCCCTGGCCAGCCTGGCTCCAGGATGGCTGACCAAACCTACTTTGCTTGCATCCTAAGGGGTCTGTTAATCCTAGGAGGCTGGGATCAGCCTCACCACCTGCAATTTAGGCTCAGGGGCTCAGGGCTGTGTGTGGCAGGTCTCTGAGAAAGAAGGGGTCGGGTAGACACTTGGGCACATTGCTTTATAAGCAAAAGTAACTTGGACAGCTGAATGTCCTTCACCCAGATTTTATTTACTCTCTCCTTTGTTCCTGTTCTCCTCAGGCCACCAGTGAAAAGACTGTCAGGTCACATAGCTCATACCATTTCAAGGATTCATTGTCTAACTGGAGGTAATGTATGATCATTTTATACACTGCCACAGATTCATTATTCATACAATTTTCTATTAATTTTTAATGCGTCCAAGTTCCTAGTTATTTAACATATAATGCAATTGGCCAGACATCTTCATAAAGCTAAGAAAAGTGGCTCTGAGGTACTCTTCCAGAGCATCTAAATCTATTAACCACCTGATGAGATAGTACTGCTCTTAGCCATGGGCAAGACCCCTGTCTTGGATCCCTACACCTCACAAGTCCTTGTGATTTGGATGCTGTTCCTTGAAGTCCTTCGCTGCTACTCTTTATCCAGCCTGTAAGGTTGACCAGATATTTAGAGGAGTTCTGGAACTCATACTTATGTACTGTTTTAGAGCCAAAGTGGGGCCTAATTCAAGAGAGCAGCTTGGTCAGCATACATTCCCACTGACACTGGCTGGCAAGTTATTTCTTTTGTAATATTGCATGACACTGGACCTGTAGAGTGGTGCTGACATGCTGATTTGGGGTAACGCTCATTCACAGGGGATGAAGAAGATAAGAACTTTCACATTGGGCAATAAATAAATACCCATTATTCCAAATCTTCATCAGTAAATCACTATACCTCACATGGGTTCATTTTCCAGTAAAATTGCTGATACACAGATGCACCTGCAAAATACAGTTGCCTGGGGCTCACACTCCCTGGGGATAGCCATACCCCGGGGAACCACTGTAGGTTCTTGAACAGGGGCTGATGTAGACTGAGTATTTAGAAAGGGAGACACTGGCCCTGGAGAAGAGCAGGGCGAGAGCTATGGCATTCACAAGGCTGAGAGGAGCCAGTGTAGAGAAGTGAAAATACCCTAGATTGAGTACTTCATTTCCCTTAGGAGTCTCCTAGCTCTGAATGTTTGGGATTCTATTGTAAGGCTGAGGCAATAAAGGCCTCAGTGTGATGCTGCTGGAGCCTACAGTGGAAGGAGGTGAAGAAATATTTTAACGTAACGCCAGTACTGGTAAAAATGACAGCTCAGGTGGAACCAAGTGTCATTCTGACACTTGACATACATGGCCTTGTTCAGTCCTCATGTCAATCTTTATTATTCGCATTCTCCAGATGAGGAAACAGAATTAGAGAAAGTTGAATAACTGGCCAAGGTTAAATGCTGTTATTATTGGCAAATTGGGTAGAGGAGCTGAAGACATGGGAGGAATCGCAGGTGTCCCCAGGTGTTCAAGGCTGGAGGGCAGGGAACACAATTTGGATGGTTTTGTGGTGAGTTTGCTTGCTTTGTTTTGTTTTCTCATTGGTTATGGCTGTGAGGGCATTGAGATGATGAGTATCTAAGTAGCTATGATCGCAGGTTGCTTAAGTAGCCCTGTCATGGAGAGATCTGGAAATACCCACCAGAGATCAGATGAGAGGTTGGGCTGGAGGTTGTGGATTTGGGATCATCAGAGATGAGAGGTGCAGTTATGTGAGTGGGAGAGGCAACTAACCTCCGGGTTAGAGTGGGCAGAATTTCTTAAGAGAAATTCTTGGGAGGGAGAGCTCAGTGGGCAAGACTCCAGCATCAACTCAGCAACTAAAATCCCCAGCCACTTTTGAAGAGCTGTTCTATTATATAGTTTGGTCAGCAGCTCAGCTTCATATTTTCACCCACCAGAATGTTCAGATCAATACTCCCAGTCCTCATGATTTACTGAACCTGAATTTCTCTAACTGCTCCATTAACTCTTTGGAAAGGTTTCTCCTTCTGTTAGCACTGGATCATGATTTTCCATAAAATTTGCCCTTGAGCAAGCATTCTCTCATCATTCTCACTAGGGAAATTGTTTCCCCGCCCCAGCGCCCCCCACTCTCCATCCTTCTTCACTTTCTTTAGAGCTTTGTTTCATGAACCTGCATTTTGCCTGCTAATTAGTGTTTTTTAATATATACTTGCTATTGAGCTTGGAATCTATGGGTTTTTTCTCATGCCAGTTTGTGAGTTCCAAATTCTTTGTATCAGTTCATATGTCCCTAACTTAGTTATTAATTTAGGGTCTTCTTGTTTCTGTGTGCAGTAGAGACATTCTGGTGCTAAAGGGCTTGGCGCCATGGCCCTGGTCTCTGCATGCCCAGTCCTGTGTCCATGTTCATGGTGTTGCTTCCCTGCATGCTGGGCACACAGGGGTCCAGTGGCCAGACAGCCATCATAAAAGGTGAATTCACACACAATATGCCCCTTTGTTCCAGGGAAAATTTTGTTCCTCTGATCCTCAGCTTCAGCATCATGAAAAAGCATTTGTCAAGCCCCTAATTGCCAGAGTGCTGCACTAAGCACTCCATAAAGAGTCTCACTGCCATGGTCGGGCCAAGTGTGACAGAGCCAGGCCTGGGTGTGGAAGGAAATTGCTAGGGCTCTCGCCCTCAGACACAGAGTCTTGCAATTTGGCAGGAAAAATGATGTCTTTCCAGGGATACCCAGCAATGCAGAGATACCTGAGTGGGGGTGGGGCACGGAAGCCTCAGTTCATTTGGTATACAGTACATGTATAGACAGATACCCCAGAAAAGAGGAAGGGGGAGCAAGCTGTTTTTTCCTCAGGAAGCCTGAAGGGTAAGCTCCTAAGAGGAAGCTACAACATCAGCGAGTGGCACCCTCCTCCACAGTTTGCCAGGGAGGCGAGAAACGTCAAAGTCTCTACAAGTCATAGCATTTGGCTAAGTGTCAGCGTCGAGTTCTTGCCTATTAAAGCCAGTAATCCAGCTCAGAATGACACAAACACATAAATAAGAGCATTACACATGATCGCATAAAAGGCATAAACAAATAAAGAAGTAGACACACCTGAAGGGCAAGGGATGGTTTCTGTGTAGAGGGGGAGGGGTGCAGAAGCCACCCAACTGATGGTGTGTGGGGTAGATTAAATGGGTTAATCCATAAAGTGCTTAGAGCAGTCCTGGGCCCTTAGTGAGTGCTATATATCAGCCAGTTGAATGAACGAACGAATGAATGAATGAATGAACGAATCAAGTTCAAGTTAGAAAAGCTGGAGAATATCAAGGTAAGTGGATTTCTCCGTCTTCCCACACCAGATTGGCTGGCATGGCCCTGGATCCACAGTTTAGGATTAGCGAAGTTTCAGCTGCACAGAATGTCCTTGAAAGGCTCACCCAGACCACCTTGAAGAGGGACATGATTCATCTCCAGGTATGTGCCCCATGTGATGTAGCACACTGTAACACAAATAATTCTCTTAGGACAGTTCCTAAGGGTGGAGAAAGGGAGAGGGCATTCCTGTTTTGTTTGCTTTGCTCCAGATCCTGGCAACTTAACTCTAAAGGTAGTGACCACTAGGTCCAGGTATGTATAAATAACGATACCGTAGAAAGATGTTTAAAGTAGAAGTTTTATGAAGACCAAAGAATTTGTTAAAAATGTTTGACCTTGCTCTCTGTCCTAAGATTGAACAAAGGTGTGGATTTCAATGTCAGGCTTTAGTCTCTCGTGACACAGAAATTGCTGGAAGCCTCGCTGGTCCTGTCCAATATTCAGATGTGTCCATGTCGTTCTTCTCCTTGGCTTGTCTGCCTGTCCTTTCAGACATTTGCTTCTTGACTCCCTTCATTGCTACCAGAGAGTCCTTGGTCTTTGCTAATGGTGAGCACTGGAGCAGGATGTTTGGCTCTCTGCTTTCTTAACCTGGGTCCTCTCAGTGTGTGGTTTCTCTGGCGTCTGGGTTCTTTCTCATACTGTGGCCACAGGAGGGCAGTTTTAATGCCCCTCAGGAGCTACTTGGATCAGATTTCTGGATTGGGCAGCCTTGAAAATACTTTCTGTATTGTGTTAGGAAACATTCCCCAGGCAATAAGAGTGTAGGGAATCACCATCGACTACTCAGTGGCCAATGGCAGATGATTTCCAGGACCCAAAACTCTCCTCTGATGCGTAGAGCGCCACTGGGGTTCACAGGGATCCCTGATGTCCAACTTCAGTCACCTAGAGAAACTTAAGAAGGTCATCCTCACCTGGGATCACAGAAGTTGGGGGATCCTGTTCAGCCACGTGGCCGACCGAGAGTCTACAAACATCTGTCAAGTTCATTGACCAGTTTATCTCTGCCCTCAGACAAACATGAGTTTTGGGAAAGTAGAGGTGTGTGGGGTGTGTGTGGGGTTTATCACAGGGAGACCACAGCACAGATTTTCTAATTCCTTCCTCTGTGCCTTGTTGGATACCACTGCCCCTTCTCTGCTATCACTAGTCCACGTAGGTAATTTTTCTGGCTTCACATTCACCTCTTTAAAGTTTTCCCTGGTTAATTCAAATATGCTCTCATGACTTCTGTATTTTTTTTTAATTTTAAAATTTGGTTAATACCTTTTTTGGTATTTTAAAATTTCCTATGTATTGTGTAGCATCCCACAGTAAGCATACAATTAATGCATGTGACTTAATTAGTAATATACCCAGTAAACTTTATTGATGACACTAGTGAGCCATCAAACTAAACAAGTAATTTTGTGAAGCAAACCATGTTATCCAAGGAATGACAGGGAAAGGGAAAAAGACTAGCTCTGTCAGTTCTCTTTAGTGGTAGATGTGCGGAAAGTGGTATATTAATATAGCACTTGCCTAGAAATAGATATTGGTAGGGAGATCACAATGATTTTGTAGAAAAATACTACCGCATCTGCTAACTCCTTTCTTTGGAAACTCCTTTCACTTTCTAATGTGCAATATATATCCTTCTTAAACTTTCAGTTACCTGAAAGGAAGCTTCATGCTCAGGGTATAAGGGCATCCGCTAACAATGATTGCTTGAGAATAAATACGAGATAAGATGATGTACTGGGAAGGCCACTGTCCACCTCCATGAAGGGCCAGTGTTTGTGGACCTTTGGGAGGAATAGTGCTCCGAGGGCAGGACCCACGTCCTAATGGTACCTGGAGTACTAGCACCCAGTTCAATGCTTTGCTCAGAGATGTGCCATGGAAGAAATGAATGGATTTTAACTACCTTGGGTATCATGTTTTTGGCGCCTGTGGATGTGACTTATAGAGCATGATCTCATTTATAACAGAAGAGAATGATTAAGCCAGAATGAATTTTGTGCTGTTATTTTTAAAAATGACATAATTTAGCTGTATAAGCGGTAACAATTTTAAATGTGTATTGTTGGGTTTTTTGTAAAAATAGCATAACAATAATAGTACTAGCATATGTGTGTGTATATATATATGTCACTTATGTGTTAGGCATTGCTTTTAATTGAAATAATTCTAACAGTAACCCTATGAGTAGATATTCTCATTTTATAAATGGGGAAGCTGAGGCACGGAGAAGTTGTGATTTTTCTAGAGCTAAGTGACAGAGGTGTGATCTGTAGGCAGGCAATCTAGCTGAAGAATCCATGCCTATTAGCCAGTAATTCATATAGCCTCTCATGCTGGTGAGAATCTATCCATACCGAGTACCGATAGAGACTGGTTTCATACCCAGTCATAAAATAAATACTTATTTGTCTATCAATTAGGTACAATATGACAGTGATAAGTTGGAAAGGGTCAGGGACACCCAAAGTACTTGTTACAGTCATTTAAAAAATCTGAAGAACATCAAAAAAAGAAAGGAACAATGGTTGTTTATAATCTGCCAAATTATTAATGTAGGACAATGTACATTTTTTTCCTAGTTGAAGATAAAAATCCTAGCAAATGGACAAAGAAGAATTGAGCATCCAGGAGGAACTTAAATGGTGATTCTCCTGAGATAATAGCCTGGACACATTGTCCATTATGGGTAGACTGAAATCATAGAATACGATCTTTAAATTAACCAGGAAGTGAATACATCTTCTTGAACTGATAAATTTCTGAGCTAAGGTAATCAGCAAGACAGGACAGAGACCATAGAGCTGCCGCTTGTACATTTCATCAGGTGAGAGAGAATGCCCTTCCTTTGAACTTGTAAGAAAAACACAGTTTTGATAAAAAACAAGGTATTTTGCAATGTATTTAAGTTTTATAAAAATGTTCTAAGGAATAAATATCTAGAAATGTTTGAGGAAAACCTGGAAGGATTTCATCCTGCAAAACTGTGTGTAGGTGGGGCGCCTGGGTGGCTCATATGGTTAAGCGTCTGCCTTCGGCTCAGGTCGTGATCCCAGGGTCCTGGGATCGAGCCCCACGTTGGGCTCCTGGCTCAGCGGGGAGCCTGCTTCTCCCTCTCCCTCTGCCTCTGCCTCTCCCCCTGCTCATGCTCTCTCTCTAACTCTGTGTCTCAAATGAATAAATAAAATCTTAAAAAAAAACAAAAAACAAAACTGTGTGTAGGTAAGTTTTTACCACATCTTATCACTTAAATGGGGGAAATTGCACATATTCTAGATGGTATTTTTGATCTTTTAATTCTCCAAGTTGTTTCTGATAATCCTTTTAATTTCAGTTTAATAGCCATAAGCCTTTTTGAAATAATAGTGCCATCAGTTCTAGGTATATGCATTAAGGGTGATGGCAAGCTTGAAAAAAAAAAAATCCTTTCCTCTGGGTTCAGGCAGAGACCTCACTTTGGGAATTAAATGACTGTGACAGGGGATTCAGGTCTGTGGTTTCAGGAGTCAGTGGTATAGTGTGTTGTTGGGCTTGGGTCGCGGTGCTGGGTAGTGTCTGGCGCTTTCCTGAAGCTGACCACAGTTTCTCCTGTTGGTCCTGTTAGTAAGATACCAGTTTATTTTGGCTATGTTCCTGCCCCTACAGCGAGCTATTGGAATGACAGGAACACTGATGTGAAAAGCACCTTTTCTTCATGGAATGACTTATTAGTCATTTATTTCATTGACACATAAAAAAACCCCCAAACCATAATGGTAGCTCTGACCTGGTCAGATGGACGCTTTCCTTCCCCTCCTTCAGGACTGGGGCACTCATTCACCCAAGCTGCTAGGGGTGACGGTTGACTGCCTGCAGCCCAGTAACCCCTCCCAGAAATTGCCTTTGGATGAAGAGCTGTTTTCCCCCCTTCCTGGGGGCAGCCTGAGTCTGATGACTGACAGGTGGGGATACAAAGGTCCTGCCTCTTGACTTCACTTGGGACAATTCTGCCAGGTCATCCCAGCTTAAGAATGCCTGTGTGGGGTCCGCTGAGGCTTTTGTTGTGACTGAATGCCATCCAGCTTCTCTTCCTGCTCAGTCCAGCTTGCTTCGCTCTCCCACAGATGGGGTTCCTAAAGTGCTCCCCAATAAACTTCCTGCACCCCAGTCTGTTTCTGGGAGACTTGATCTGTAACCCCTGGCAACATATTCTGGATGCTGAAGAATGAAGGATGAAGGTACACTTTGGAGAAAGATTCATACAAACTTGCATTAAGTTCTTTGGATAAGGGTGATATTTTTCTAATTTGCTTAAACTCTTTCCCTGATGCCTGCCTCCCCATTTTTTTTCCAACCTTCATTGATCCCTAATTCACACATAGGTTTCCAATGGGAGATATAATTTGCGCTTAATGTAAAAAAATTCACATATTAAGGAAATATGTATACATGCGTGAGTTGCCGCTACGCATGCCCACCAGATAGCCATCATTTAGAAGACCCAGAGTAACCCTCTGCATCCCCACCCAGCTCTGAGTGCTGGGTAGTTGTCCTTTGTACATGAACGTATACCTTGATTCATATATCTGAAGATGAACGGGCACTGGCAATTAGAATAATAATACTATTTGGGATTTATTTACAAAGCACTTTCCATCCATTATATTGATTTATTTCTTGGCATCCTTGAGAAAGTTTGGCCAGGTGAGCCCCATTTTATAGATGGAGAGTGACTTGCTGAAGACACTGGAGTTTGGGGAAATTTCTTTCTGACAGGCTCCAATTTCGAGGATCAATCAATGGGCCCAAGCCCATCATTCAAAGAAAACACCAAAAGAGACGTGGTGTTTTGTGAAATGGCACATTCTGAAGTCTCTGTCACTGAGAGAAGGATGTAAGCTCAGGATTAAAGCATCATCTTCAAAGAAGGGCGAAGTACTTGTTAAATAACTCCTGGCAACTGCTTAAGCACTAAGCATTGTAATTGCAGAGAGCAGGAGCAGAACCAAAAATAGAAAAGTGGATAAGGACAGGACCAAAGACATCATTGTCACTCAAACTTGAATGTCACTTTTTGACAGCATTTGAGCAATTGATTCTTGGTTTTCCATGCTCGGAATTCAGTAGTCACGCTTTGCTGTGACAG